GGGTTTCTTTGTTTTATGTCACATCAAATCACTATGTTGTCACACTGCACACGCCATATTAATTACCCTTCGCCTCCGTCGCTTCCAATACCTTAGTTGGTTTCTTTTAAACGTTTGTTAGTCATTTTACCCTTGTTTTTTACTACGAACTTAATTCACTCCTCCTTTGCACCTTCATCTTCTACCTCGCACCCATAGGGGAAAATATTTTAAGGGTGCTTTTCCTTCGGATAATTCTTTAAGGTCAAAAATCGATTGGGAATCGAAGGCGTATGGACATTTTATCGAAAAGCACTTCGTCGATGATCCATCGATAGCAGTAACTGATGAGGAGCATATAACCTTCCTGGTGTATTGGTTATGTACTCATGTTTTCTGCCCCCGATCCATCCAAATTTCATCCCACCTTTATAATCTTGCTTATCTCCTACACACTGGCCAACCAAGGATTTATCTGGCAAAATTATTATTGGCACATGTTTACACTGCCTTCGATGAAGCTGTCGAAATTTTGAATACCCCCAGAGCTTCGGGGAATTTTTCAGGTCCTATTTGGTTCATTCAGTTATGGCTGAACTCAATTTTTGAAAGTATCCTCCCCCCAACCTCCAAAATCCCCCCAGGTTTAAATTTAGAGGGTGCTCAATTATCTTCTCGACATCCCCGCCATAAATCCGACGAGACTACCTATCGTAACTACCTCAGATTTTTGTTAACCCGATTTCATTTTGATTCACATTTGGCCCCTTTCACTGTGTATCTCGGAAAAATAAGTGACCAACTTCGAGGACCAACATGGTTTAAATCGAAATTCCCTGCTCTTACTCCGGGGCTGCAGTCAGAATTGGTTGAAGTATGGAGCAATTACTTGACCCAAGATGTGTTAGTATCGGGTTTTCAATCAAAAGATCTTCAACTCATCATCTATTATCCTCAGCTTTTCTCGCGGCAGTTTGGTTTAAGTCAGGCCTTACCATTTTTTCCCCTCGATACCTCCTCAAGGTCCAAACTAAGTGAATCGACTGTTGGACGGGAGCTCGCCAAATTGCTGTCAAAAAACCCGATGCAATTTTACCCTTATATTTTTTAGTCCAATTATTTATCTACTCTCGGTTTCTCAGATTGGTGTGCCGATTGGTTTTCGAATAATCATGTTGATTTTGATATAGTTCAACAGAAATTGACTGCCTATCCTTCTCTCATATTACAGGACAAATCGAAGGTGAAGAAAGGTACACACTCCCACTATCTCCAAATATCTCGATTCGAAAATTTTTATCGAGTATGTTACAACCCCTTAAAAGAATCGACCTTCTATGATGATGTTATTTCCTTAGCCAATAAAACAGACACTAATCGATCAAACCACAAAATAATCAATCCTCGAGGTAAAACCCCATTTGAAATGTATTGTCCCGATAACCTTCCCACTTTTCCTACAGCTCCTTTTGGACTTGCCAAATCTCTAACTCATCCTAAATGGGTTTGAGAGTTAAGATCTTTGAAAGAGACCCTTTATCCAAAACCCAAAAATAAAGAAATCTCGATATCGAAACTGTCCTATTTCCCTTACCTAAACCTTCCTCAAATTCTTCTTCCTCCCTGGCTTGTCCATATCGACCGAGTCAAGATTTTGACTCCATCACCTTTTGGTGAGATTTTGCTACCTCTTTTAGGAATATTTTTTTCTTGTTCTTTATATTGCAAGTTAACTGTTTTTCTTTTTTTTCGACAGTCTCGAAAACGTCTAAAATTGCAACCTCCGAGAAAGAGAAGGACTAGGAGTCCTCCGATGAGTCGGATCCATCGGCCCTCATTAGGAAGCGCAAGCATTCTGCCACCATTTCATCTTCGAAAAAATCGAAGGTTTCTTTTTTATTTCTTACTGTCTTATTTATCCATCTTTCTGTGTCTATAGTTGTGGATTCTCATGCATATTTCTGTCATTTATTTTCGATTTCTAATTTCAGAAACAAAAATCAAAGAGTCATCGATCTGTCCAACCAACTGCTATTAATCCATTTATCGACGGACTCTAACACGGTCACAAAAACGGACCAAACGACACCCACTACTCGTTCAAGTCACGTAAGACCCCACTTTACACCAATTTTATATACCTAGATTTCGATGAGGCCTATAACATGATTTCAAATCTCGATATTTTTCAGGATCATCCATCGGCGACTATATCGACGAATGTCGATTCTATACTTCAATCACCAATGCCTATTCCTGAGGTACAGCTCTTTAAATTTTGTATGTTTATTTAGTCCGGTAATAGCAGCAATTTCAAAGAGGGTGGGTGAAAGGGGACCACAAGGTAGTTCCAATGCATGCAGGTCTTTATTCCAAAGGTGGACAGCTGATAAGAACATAGCCATATCTAAATAAGACAAATCACATCGAGACAGATGCAGGAAATCGAAGATCCCCACATCTCTCCAATGGTTCCCAAACTTGGTTTTTACTCGATCAAACCACCTAATATACAAGGGTTTTTTGTAGGGAGGGCCTGTTCGGTATACTTTAGATACAATGCTCAGAAAGTCAATTCGAACTTCAGATTGATGAATAGGAGCCTTGCTCTTTGAAGAAAGATTGAGGGAAGAAAAAGATCTGCCACAATAGCGAATATGACCTCCAAAAGCGTAATTAACATTATCAGCAATGTAGGGAATGAGTACCTGCGTGTCAGCGATTTTCTGAGAAGCTTCCTCCATCAAAGGAACTAGAGCAAACTTCTGGCTATTAATCTCCAGTAGGTTAGCGGTCACCGAGGGGAGTGGTGGGACGGAGAAGTCAGAGGATTTGGATGAGGTCGCCATTTCAGTAGTCGATAGAGCAAACGAGGACGAAAGGTAGAAGACGAAGGTGCGAGGTAGAAGACGAAGGTGCAAAGGAGGAGTGAATTAAGTTCGTAGTAAAAAACAAGGGTAAAAAGGTTAACAAACGTTTAAAAGAAACCAACTAAGGTATTGGAAGCGACAGAGGCGAAGGGTAATTAATGTGGCGTGTGCAGTGTGACAACAGAGTGATTTGATGTGACATAAAGCAAAGAAACCCTAGAAAAACCCCAGAAACCCTAAACCCTAAAAGTTATTTTGGGTCTCCAAAATGTTTGAAGGCGGGAATCATTTTTTGTAAGAATATAAAATAAAAGTTAATATTTATATTCTTCCAAGGGGGCATTTTGTTAGTAGGAAATCAATAAAGGGATCGAAAAACGAAGGTAAGAAAAATCGAGGATCATATGATTGGTTAAAAACTGATAAAATTGGTAAAAGACACCTGATAACCACAAAGATAAAAACACATCAAAAATCAAAATCGAGAATCGAAAAAACAAATTTCGATGTCTATTGTTGAAGAGAATCGAGAGATTAGAATAGTGCAAAGTTAAGAATTAAAGGGAATCAAAAGCAAAATTCAAAATACTCGATGTCTGAAATCGAGATCAAGGGAGCGGTTAACACATACAGGGGACACGGGAAACGGTTCCGAAACCGTGGCTCAGATCGAAGATCAAGGGAGCAGTTCTCTTATGCGTGAGAACATGGAATGCAGTTTTTTACTGTAAGACTGAAGATACGTGCACGTAGGATCGTGGTGACGGTTTTATTAACCACTCTTAAGAGGTTACTTGAAGGATGCTCTATAAATAGAGCGAAGACTGGAAAAAGAGGGGGAAATTGGCAGAGAGAACTGAAACATTAGTGAAAAAGTCTACCGGAGAACGACGAAATCATGAAGTTTCTGGCGATCTGGATTTCCATTTTTATTGACTGCTTTTATCGCTTTCTTTACTTTCCCTGGTAATTTACTTTCATGCAACTTACGTTTATCAACTTTAAGTTTCTGGACTTTTAATTCCATGTTATTTTACTTTTATGTAAGTTGAGATTCTGCGTTTAAGTTCCTCGTTATTTACACTTATGCAATTTCGATTTCCTGTTATTTACATTCCTACAATTTCGATTTCTCGCTATTTACACTTATGCAATTTCGATTTCCTGTTATTTACATTCCTGCAATTTCGATTTCTTGCTATTTATACTTAATGCAAATTTGAGGTTTCCGTGTTTTTTACATTCCTGCAATTTAATATTCTGCACCGCTTTTCGATTCAACAATTTTACTGTTTTCTTTACTTCGCGTTTCTTAATAAAAAATACCAAAAATAGTACTTTCGATTTGCACTTTAAATAATGTTGTTTGCATTCGTGAGATTTTCGATTCTCATGCATTTTTCGATTGAAAACCATTTGCTAGCCTAAGTAAAAAGAATCTACATGGTCGAGATTTGATTAGGACTAACTCCCCATAAATCGAAATCAATCAAATTTTCATAAGAAACAGTAAGTTTTTTAATACGATGTATAGATTCCTTCACACCTTTAAAAACGATTCATTCAAAATTCATAGAAGAGATAGATGTTAAGAACTGTTTAGATCGAAAAACACTTTAAAAAAAGAAATTTTATCAAAGTTATAATGGATCTATAAATAATTAAAAAATTAACTTAAAGAAACTACTCTCAAAGAATTTTTATAATTTAACATATATACAAATTAGTTTTAATTTATAAATTTTTAATTATTTTTATTCTTTCAAATAAATTTATCCAAACATCTAAAATCCTAAATATCGCATCCATTGGCTCGACAACATATGTACCATTCATTCTTAAACACAGGAAAACCATCTTCAATATGAAGCGACTAACGTTATGAAAATAAAGCAAGAAAAGAAACACTAAAAAATGAAGATAATTTAATTACTTAGAGCCATTTGATGATATTAATTACACGCATACCAAACTCCCCTAACAGGAGTACATTTATTCCCCGAATGGCATATAAATAAACAAGATACACAATGGCGTTGGATCAAAGCCCCTAGCAATGCATATAATGCTGTAGAAAGCAACCACGGATTTGCCACGCCAAAATTAAAAAAGTACACTACACAGGATCAAAGCTATGAAATCCCACGCTTTTTAAAGCATGTCATCCTCACCATCCAGCAATGAGAAGGAGAGAGGGTAGAACTTGTAACCATCACCCTCGTAGAACTTGTTTTGGAACTCTACCCAATGAAGTCGCAAAGCATGCAAGAAGGCACTCAAAGTTTCCATGACAAGCAACACCCCAACGGTAGCAAAAGCGAAGACAATAAAACCCACAATCAGGATGATCACATTGTTGTACCTGTGACATGACGAGAGCAATTGGTTGCCAGTCAAACTCAGTTTGTGTTTGAGGGAAAAATAAGAGTGATTGTACAGAATGAACCACGAGCAACAAGAACTACTGAGCCTGATGAGAGATTATTTACGATACTTTTCATGTATAAAAGTGACTCGTCTTTCAAAGTAAAAAATAGGTGGGAAAACTCCAATTATAAAAGCCAAACTGGGTTTTAACTTGCCAATATTTGTTTTTTTACGTTTTACATAACCTATAGTTATAATATCGCAATATACGGAACAATTTCTCCTGATTCAATCATGTCCGAAAATTCACGACTCCTATCTTCCATGTATATCAAGAGTTGAGACTTGAAAGCAAGAAAACTGAAAACAGTAGTAATTCTTAAACTAGACATGCATACCCCCATGCCAAAATGAGAACCTTCTCGTAGAAAACACTTGATAACTCTGAATGTGCAAGACTGGATAAGAAAAAAAAAGAAAAATTAGCAGATGCATAGTCATAATTCATATGCACATACATCAAAACAGATCTACAGATAAATTGGTATATAAATCCGCTGAACTTAACTAATGAAGCAAAGCAGAAGAATGTCCACTTACATATGCAGCAAAAAAAAAATTGTTATTATCATTTACAAAATTTGCTATTTAGTAATATTGAGCATACCTTAGAGCCCATAGACGAAGGTAAGAAGCTGTATTAGAGACTGCTCCAAGTACAAATTCTATGGTGTGTATGAGTTGATGCACAAAGACTTCACTGAATTCAAATTCCTCGTGACCATTGGAATCGTGGTTTGACTCTATTTGCACGCTCTCTTCTGTGATTTGAAGTGGCGCGTAGGATTCACCACGTTGCCTCTGAGGTAACAAACTATCAGAATCAGACCTAAGATAAATGATTTCTGAAGGAACAAACAGAGCTTGAGTAAAGTTCAAACGGAAGCATACATCTTCGTGTTGCTTCTTCAAAATAAAAGGTTTTGGGATCAGCATCCAGGGTACAGAGACAACAGCCAGAAGTAAAAACACTTGCTGGTAGGAAGACCACAAAGAATGTCAGCTATATACATGTGGAAACAAGCTAAAAGTACAAGGGGAATGTGACTTGGAAGTAAGCAAACCTGCAGAATTTTTTGACCAGCAAAGAGTTGATTCTCACCCAAATCATCTGTAGGACTCAGGAACATGTAGATCAATATGTGGTACAAATCAGCTTGAGAACCAGTGCACCACTTCACAATAATGAGAGCTGATAGGTAACCAAATAGACTGTTGAGAAATATCATTTGGGGAATAAATTGGAACCTGAAATATAAAAGATCAAATTAATCTCACGTATGATTTTAAATTATCAAGCAAGTTCTTAACCATTGAGAGAAATTCAGAAATTTGATTGTAATGTCAACATGAAGAATTACTACAGATTGTATAATATTTTATTTCAAACTTCTCCCTAATGAAAAAGAAAGGGCTGGAGGAATTTCCCTAAATGAATGACAGCTCATGTACGTACAATAAATGGCCATCCAAAACTCCAGATAAGTTTTCACTGCTCAGACAAGTAATACTATTGATAACTAACACAAACTTACCATATATTCACGCTACTTCCAAAGAATTTGGCATTGCAATAACTCATGATAATTCCAAGGTTCATTTGGGCGACCCCAAGAAGAATTGACATTTTCATTTTCAATGAATTCAGAAATGGTAATTCACTTCTTGTACCATGCCATACAGGGTCCACTCCAAATGGGTAAGTGCGACGCACTTTTATCAGGCCAACTGTTGTAGCATCCCTGCATCCGAAAGAAGATTAGTACAGGGGGAAAAGAAAGAGAGGATGGCAACTAAATTTTCTAAAAACATAAAAGGGTAATAGTATATGTTATGTATCAAAGGATTTGATGTACCTGCAAGAAAGGTCACGACATGCATATGCCGAAGGACCAAAGAGTTCAAATGGAACAGAAAAGAACTCATTATAGATCAAACCAGTATATATTGAGAAGATTGCCATCAACATAATAACATAACGACCACCAAAAGTCATCTCTGTGATGTCTCCAAGTTTCTGTTTTTACCCAAATTTCAAATGTTAAAAGAGAGTCTAGAAATTTATATAATAAACAGTAAAAAAGTTTCTGTTGAGACATAATTAACTATGTGAGAGATTGCATACGACTAAAAAGAAATTTACTGAAATACCCTGATTCACGTTAAAAAACACAAAACTCTCATTGTTTCATCTAAAACACCCGAGAACCCCCCTCCCCCATTGCGTAGCTTTTTTTTTTTTTTTTTTTTTTTCTAAGAAACATCACCCTCCCCCCTCATGTCGTATACAACCCTCCGCATTCCATCTCAAGTTTCTTACTCTCATATTTTCCCAAGCTTATTCTTTCATTCTTTTAGAACTCACAAACTCCTTAGACCCAAGTATCGCACAAGCCTGGGGAGGTGATTTGAGTTAAGAGAAACAATATCCATTACTCAAAAATGTCTATTTTAAGTTCTTTGTGATAAACCCATCACCCGTAAGTCTAGATTATTTTATGACAGATTAGTAATAATGAATTTTTGTGTGGGTACTGGAAATTTGAATATTAGGATTCTTATGGTTTCCTTAAAACCTTAGGCATCTTAAATTAGGATTTTGTTTAGCCATTCATTTCTTATTCTTGATGCTTAAATCATTAGCAAATACCTTGGTAGCTCCACCTCGTGAAATTGTAAGAGATTGACCTCTTTCCCTATAGTTGTAACTTGTAAATTAAATTTTCAAATAGGTTCCTTTTGACTATGATTGTAATGAATGAGCACGTAAATATGAAGATCAATATAAAGTTTAGTATAGAAACTATTTTACTGTTTGCAAACTTGATTATGCATGATTCTTAGTAGTTTTGATAATATGTTTTCAATGTCGATTTTTTTACTTCTCACCATGAACTCTGTCTATGATGGAACCCTGTTTGTTGCCACAAAGAGAGAATGTACCCATAGTTCCTATAACTACCGTTTGCTGCAAAGAAGAGAGCATGAAGCCCATGAGTTGGTGGCGTAGCCTTGTACAGATTGTTTATCACAATGGAGAGATCATGTGGTCTATATACATATAGTGTGATAAGCATAAGAACAGAGTGCACACATAACCCATTCTGGAAAATAAATATTTATTCTCATGAGAACTCATTTGCAATGTAATTGAAATCATAATCAAGAATACCAATTTTTCTATGAAAATTCATTCCATTATGTGATCTAGGCCACTTTATCTCTTTGTTATCACAATTGATAACTAAAGGACTACACACACAACTCATAGGCTGCATTCTCTATACGTCACATGATCACATCCAACTGCACTCATAAAAACTATGGATACTCAACTCAGACTGCATTCTCTCTTCATTGTAGCAAACAATTATTATAGGAACTACAAGGGCTCAACCCATAGGTTGCAATCTCTTTCACAACTAACGGTGATCATAAAGAGAAACTGCGAAGACAAGTTTTAATCCACACGTAACATATTACATTAGAACTATTAAGAACATTGAAGAATCAAGTCCAAAACATTAAAACATAAATCCTATACTTATCTTCATTCTCAAGTGCCTGCGAAAACCATAATCATAAAAAATAAATTTATTGTTTCTCCCAAGAATATTAATAAAAAATGTCACTGGATAAGTTAGCAATTCATAACTATAGGAAGCAAGTCAATCTCTTCTAATGTTGTCAAGAGAAACAATCACAATATACTTCAACTGATTTAAACACAAAGTTCCTCAAAATTCCCAATTTGTAAAACTTAGGGTTTCAAATTTAAAACATAAGAAACCTAATATTTAAAATTTTCAACACCCACACAACTAATACTATTTTATGTCATAAAATAATCCTCAAGATTTATAGATGAGGGGTTTATCTCTCCAAATAGAGATTTTTAAGGGATGAGTATTTTTCCTCTTAATCAAATCCCCTAATCCATGCTTGTGAGCCTCATGGGTAAAAGACGTTTGTGAGTTTCAAAACAATGAAGGGAAAAAAACGAAGAGAAAAAGAGGAAGAGAAATATGAAGATGGAATGGAGTATAGAGTTTACATGAGATTTAGAGAGGAGGCTCTGTTTTAAAACAATGCCATTGGGGGAATTGAAAAAGGGGTTCGGGTGTTTCAGTGACATTATCAACAAAGACTAATGTGAATCTAAGAGGCTTTATCAATCAACAAAGTTTTGAAGATTTTTCATCATCTAGTGAATAACACATAAAATTGAGTATCCAACAGTAAAAATATCCACTAACTAGAAGGATTTTAGCACTCTTAATCTTGATGCATGATCTCCACTCTCAAGCAAAAGCAACCGAGATATTCTCTAGTGTATTGAGTAGGGAATATACACCCCTTGAATGTTATTCTCAATAACTTAATTATCTGCTACAGAACAGTTTTATGTGGCGACAAAAATGACTAGTTAATAAATGCAATATTAACCTACATCAAGCTGTAAAATGTCAAAAAGTCAACATTAGGTATCAGTTATCACCAAGTAATCATGATGTTTCCCCATATAGACTTGCCACATGACAGAAGACAGGTACTCAAAAAAAGAAGAAAATCTGCTTAAATTTCCTCCCGTTACAGCATTTACATTTTGCGTTTTCCACCTGTTCAGAACAATTTTCACAGCAAACTAATATTACCTGGCCAGAAAGTTTCTTCTCCCTGATTATGAAAAAAAGAGCTCCCAGTAGTAAACATATGCCATGTCCCCAGTCACCAAACATGACAGCAAAAAGAAATGGAAAGGTAATTATGGTATAAACCGTAGGATTTGCCTCCCGATACTTAGCAACCCTGAAATGATAGCACAAAATTCGTGTCTAAAACAATTTGTTCAGAACAAAAAGTACAAATGAGTAATTAAGTTCATATGTTATTGAGATGATCACCCCATCCACTGGCTAATGTTAAGAGAATAGTATGTCTTTGGGTGTAGTCCTAGTTTGAAATGAAGGAAACAAAGGAAAAGAAATAAACATGTTGCTCACCCGTATGAATCAATAATTTCTTGAAATGGAGAAGTAAATTTATTTGTACAAAAATAGGTAGGTGGGATCTCCCTAGTTTGCAAGACTTGGAAAATGGAACTGACTTGGGAGTTAGAGTCAAGTGCTGCCCGTTGCAATGCATCCTGGATCTGAAAAGCCAGGATTTTTCCAAGGAATCAATCATACAGTCATAGTAACAAAGGAACATATTACATCTGGCTAGAAAAATGAAGCAATCCTAAGAATAATAAATACCATCTTTGTTGCGAAAACAGGACTCCAACCCTCAGCCACAAGACATTTTTTTGTCACATCCAGGCTAAGCATGTTCAGTGTATGGTATATGGCTTTCTCCTTCCTCACCTACATGAATTGAAAGAAAAATAGTGAAAGGACGGGTAGTGCCAACAACATAAAAATATTAATCCATGAATAATTTCTAGAATAATTGCAAGAGAATTTTATATTAAATAAAACACCCAATAAAAAAGTAGATGATCTAGCATACATGTTCATGTTAATTACACACAACAGATACAAACGACATAGTTGAGCATAATATAAATACGACCTACCAAAAGATTCCATTGCTCAAATTGAACTCCAATAGTCTGTAGCAAGTTGCAACGGTGCAGCAATCCAGTATCTATTGTGGTTTTCAATTCCAGAAGTCTTCCTGAAACCTGCAGGTAAATTTGTTAGAATTACTTGGATGTACAGCTGAAAAATGACAATTTGAATCATCTATCAGCAAAAAAGTATATTCATTAGTCCCTTTCAAGGTTGTCAAACTCGGAAATTTTTTTATCATGAGATGAAAATGGAAAAGCATCACTGTTATTTGTTCCCAACTATGTTGCCACCCAAATAACAACAATCATTTGCGGTGCCCCAAGTAATATAAAAACGACTAAAAGAATCAAATAAAAATTTTACTGTGATCTTTTAGAACTTCTATAAACTTGACTTATAATCTCATTAGAGTTTATCCATTATAAAAATAATATTAGAAAACCTTTCAATGACAAATATGTACAATATAATACTCTTAGTACAACAATATATGTTGGTAATTGTCTATTCTAGTTGGTTCGTTTGGTTGGTAGGCATAGGTGGATGGGGTGTTAGTCTCACATCATTTGCCTTAATTTTTTTAGTCCAGGTTATATATTTGTTGGAAAGCTTCCCTTGATAACATTATTTTAAATTGAAATCTAACATAGTATCAAAGTCTATAGTTCATCTTAATAATTACCTATTCTAGCATACTCACTTGATTTGACACACTCATTTAACTAGGAGATAATATTATTAGAGGATTGGAAACATAGAAACTTGACATTTATTTGTTTTTAGTTATTTAATTGTTTTCACCTTAATAACTTATGTTTTGTTGGTGTATGAACAACAAAGCGCCCACGAGTCTACACAAATTCTCGTGTATGATAACCATGCTATGATCACAAACTTATTTAGGAAAAGGTTTAAAACTCAATTGCTGCTTGAAGCAGTACACAGGATCTCGATCTAAAGTAAACATAATATCTACTGCTTTGGGAATGAGGATTATAGATGCATTAACTCAGGAGTTGTAAGAATCATAAAGCAAACCTCTGAAATCATTTCAGCTTGTTTTCCTAGTTCCCCAGTAAAAGGGTAACGATTAGCACCAAATGCCTCACATATTTTTAGAATCTTGGATTTTGCTTTCTCACCAGCATAGAAGATCACAAACACATTTTTCTCAACCTGCAGCTTAACATTCATTAGTTACCCACTAACCATAAAACGTAAAGCATAAAAATTCATTGAAACAGTAGAAAATAGATGTCTACTTCAAAGGTTTGACCTCCTTTCTATTTTATGCTCACTAATAGGGATCACAAATTCTTAAGTACAAGTAAGAGGAACATAATACAATGATATACACAGCTGGACATAAAATAAAAACAGTATACTAGAACTTCATTCAGACAGTGATCATCTCCATTCTCAATTTATCAATGGTAACAAACAAACACCTATATTAACAGAACAGTCAAATTAAGTTGGAGAAAAAAGAATACAGCTACGAACTTCATTCTATAAATATTTTAAAAGAAAGTTAATAATTGAGAACGCTGTTAATACATTATCTTGTTTAAAACATTGATGATGCTTATCAGGAATACGAAACTCAAAGGAAAGATAACCGCTGTATGTAATTCATTCAGACCAACATACACCATCAAACTATTCCCATATGATTTATCTATAAGCTCTGATAGACACAACAGCATATGAACACTACTAGATTACAACAATGAAATTGATTTTTTCAAGGATTGCATGTGGACAGGGTAGATATGTGTAAGTACCTGTTCTCCAGACACAGGGTCTGTGACAGGATCCTCAACAATGGCCTGCCTAAAAAAGACATTGCCTCTGGTAGCACGAAATAAAATTCTCTCAAATGCCATGGACTTTTCCCTGGGGACAAGACCAGCTAAAAACCCCAATCTAACTTGCTTCGATGAATCAGTGGACAATTCCTTGACAAAATCGAGAGAAAAACAATGAGGAACTTTACTGTCAATATTACAAGAGAAAAAATATGAATAGGCTTGAAATTTACTTGATCATCTAATAAAGGTGTTTCAATAGATTCACCGATTTGATGTTGTGATTCATATTCTCTCTGATGCTCTATGGCACCACTTTGAGCCGAGTGGAAAAATTCACCAGCCTGAAAAGTATGAATAACTATTTAGTCTTGGAAATTTCATACATTATTATATCATTATCTACACTACTATGGCGTGAATCCAATAGACTAATAATCAAAGAAGCTACGGTTCATTCATACATGTAACTATAGCGTGAATCCAATAGACTAATAATCAAAGAAGCTACGGTTTATTCATACATGGACATTAGCATACAGAGAACAAAATATTCAGTAGAAAAAATATAGATCGACTTTGGCAATCAGAGAAATATTGAAAACGGTTGCAGATTTAAGACAGCTTTGGCATTGTCTCGATCAATATACACAATTAGTAATTTGGGAGAACAATATGAAAATATAATTATAATCATTCCATAAATCACAAACTTTTCTCTTTCTATGTATCAAGCACCTTCTTTGTGGAATATGCAACAATTATAAATGCCAATGTTTTTATTAAATCAATTGAACAAAGTTTTTAAATTCCACAATTCAAGAAACCCAAAACAAACATATGCTATAATTTTAGTTTGGATCAGGATTACGAAGACCAGAGAAAAATGTTAAGTTATAGGGCTTGGTGTAAAAAGAGAGAAAGACAAAATAGAATTGATTGATCAAAGGAGAAGCCAGTGCTAGAAGCTCCTACCAAGTTAGGTATAAGGAGGGTAGATATGTGCTTATCACCACAAGCAGAGAGGCTATTTCAGGATTTGATCACAATGACCTACAATACAGTCACAAGGCACTGAAGGCATCAACCTTATTGTTGCACCAAGGATCACCCTCTACAAAGTATATCTGATTGCCCCAAGGTTCACCAAGACAAAAACCACTGACAACAATTTATAGTACTAATTAATTAGGATATTGGTCTAGTACAATACTTCAAGCCCGACCAAATAAGACTGCTAAATAACAAGACTCCTATCACGAGAATAACCCAATAATCTAACTAAAAAAAAAAGTTCAAAACAGTGACGCAATTTGGGGAATGAAGTAATGCTTCATAAATTACCATTTAAAACTGATTAGAGATACCCATAAAATTTAAGGCAAAGACAAATTTCACTCTGTTTCTTCAGCTATTTTTTTTAACTTTATATCTTGGAAGTCAATAAAAAGCATTACACGCCTCTAAAATGGACATTACAATAATTATTGAGAGGAGCAAATAAATGATTGAAAGACATAATTTGTGGTTTGATCATAAAACAGACTGTACCTTCTGCAGAACAAGCTTATACTCCACTAGTTCATTGTAAGAGCGTTGCAACTTTTCGCTGTTGGCGTTGATCTCAGTTAATTCTGACTCAAGTTCTGTAAGTTTTACCTATTAAATGACAACTCTGAGGTTATCAATATGATAAAATTTACAAAACATGGAAAACAATATTATCAACAAACATATCTATGCACCTCAAGATCATCAATGTTTACATCTGGCTGTGTTGTTGAACCAGTAGGTGACACACCATTCTTCAACATTTGCTCCTTCAAAAATCGCAATTTACGAGCCATTTCTCCGCATCTTTTTATCTTCATAAGAAAGCACACAATGAAAATATGCATCATCAAAGAGTTCAATCATGAATTTAAGAGTTATGAAAAAAAAAGAAATGATGATTAATTCAAATGCAATAATTTGCACAGTGCATTCCACCATCCAGAGTCCCCCGTGGAACCAAATCATTGTTCTTATAGACAATCCTGTGCCTCATGACCAATGTCAAATGATAAGAGCTTTTCAACAGACACACAGTGCGTTACAACAGTTTCAAAGAACAAAATTTCAAAAGGCAGGAGCAACAAACAAAAAAATTGTTTGTATACGGTTGACTTGGGTCAATTAGCGGATAGAACAAAATCCTTTTTCTTTCATTCTTTTTTTGTAACTCTTTAATGCAAGCAGAGCATCACATACATACCTGAGTTGCATAAGTTCGTTGAAAAGGACTCTTCTCTGCATTGAGCTGCAAATAACACAGGGCAGAGCAAGTTACATCAAGAGAATTTTTTAATATACTTTGATTAAGGACTACACACGAGAATTCCATTGCAATTACTGCTTAATTTGATATTCGCGTGACCATTCTTCCATTCAATATAAACACAATGAATAATTTTATCATATTTAGAGAACACCTTCACCATTCAGTTGAGTTAACAGTTAGCTGAGAGTAACGATGATCGAGAAAAGCTTCAACTAAGTAACTAACAGCTAGCACGAGTGAGAGTGAAAAGAGAAGGAAGAAAAGCGTGATCGGTAAGGATGATAATTGAAGAGTGAGAGTGAAGTGGAGTAGCAGTATACTGACATCTTTGAATTGAAGAAGACAAAGCTCAGCGAGGTAAGAGACGGTGAGGTGAGCGGATTCGACGGGAATGATGAGCTGAAGGAGTTGCATCGGCTCCGACCGGAACAGATCCATCGGCGGACACCAACCACCGCGTCCTGCCTCTCCCATTCTCACCACCACACACTACACACCTTCTCTCTACAACCTTCCACGTTATTTCTTTAATTATTACAAGAATCTGCAATTAATGAAGTAGGTAAGCGAGGGAAATAATCTCCTTTGCTGTTCATGTTAAAATGACAGGAAAATAATAAATAATAGAAAAAAGAAAAAAACGACGAATTATTTCTCACCACGTAATTTCATCGGTAAAAAGGTGACAGTCCCTTTTGTTAATAAATTAATACTTAGGTTATTTTCTTGATTATTTTTCATTTATAACTATGATTTATGTTATATTATACTATCTCTGTGATAATAAAATCAAAATCTGTTCTAATATATTTAATCTCTTAGAACCTGTAAAATATCTAATACTTTATTCATTAGTTTATGAAGACAAAGTTTCTACTTTGTCTAATTAAACATTTTCCATGATTAAAAAGTTGACACGTTCGATAAGAATCTTGTTCTACTACTTCTTAAAAACCAATTATGATGTTGTGACATGTTCCTAAACTATTTAATTGTTTTTTAGTTTATTACATGATTAATGGTTATGCATGGTCAGTATAATCTTTAGACACAATCAGTAAAAATGTATCGTTGATGTGATTTTAATATAATTATTATAAAGTTAACAAATGAATTATATATATAATAATTTGTAATTAAAATGTTATTAAACTAAATATGTAATACTTAAGAAATGAAAGTTTTATTACTAAGTAATAAAAAAATATTATCATTCATATATAATAGCATTAAATGTTACATTTAATATTATATTAATTTTGAAATAATTTTCTTATTATCATTTTGATCAAACCTTTAAATTCTATGATAAAATAATTCCGGATGTTATTTTTTTTTATGGGTGTTGCAAATGATTCTATTTACAGTATTTTTATTCATTATTTCGAAGATTTATAATTTCACCATTTTATTTGACAAAATTTTTATGAATTAAATTTATAATAATCGAGTAGTTAATTTTTTAATAGAAAATAAAGTTTTTAGGTTTTTATTATCGTTTGTGTTAGATGAAAAAATAAACTTGATGTGACATTTAATGTTATTAAAATAGTTTATAATTATATAAATAATTATTAATTTTCATGGTTTATCCGGATTAGAAAGTGAAAGAGGAGAAAAAAACGTAGACTTGTTTATATTAAAAATAAAGATATAAAAATGAATAAAAAATTACATTTATATTTAATAATTATAAAGCCTACTAACATATTGTTTAAGAATAAAAATAGTTTGGTCTCATGTTTACTATAATACATATTTATTATAATAATATTATTAATGTCAATTTTCATATCCAAGTATTCTCCAATTTATCGTTATTATCCATCACGTTTTTATCTTTAAAAAACGTTTCTCATCTCCTTCTTTTATAAAGCCGTTTGTTTATCTGTAATAACCAAAAGAAGATCAGTTAATATATGCTGTGATATTAAAGACAAATGGAAAGCCGATGATACTTATGTACACTTTAAGATTAATTACTCAAAATTTTAATTCAAGAAAAGTGAATATATTAGAGACAATATTTAGCTGCTCAAGCGTACTACAATGATCGGTTTCGTTTTGTTTCAGCTCTACTAATTGCTTGACAGTTTGGGGTTTGAAGAGTCCCTTAAACGGCTTATATGGTGACTGGAACAAGTTCAGTAAAACCCGGTCATGCACCTCACTCACAAAAATCCAAATTCAAAGACTTGAACTAAAAAAAGTAAAAACATATGCCAGCGTTGACACTAAAATAGGCGGAGAGTATGTGAAATTTTCGGATGAAGACCTAACTGTTTGGATGTAGTTAGGGCGAGACAACATTTAACATAACCAAATTTTCCATTTCAAAGTTACATAAATAACAAACACGACCCTAATTTAATAAAACAAAAGTATCATATAAAAAAGAAAGATTTTAGGTCATTCTCCTAATCCCGACAAATGGATTCAGAAGAATCACATACTTATAAAATTACATCTTTGTCATTTTCAGAACGACTCGTGTCTCAGACACCTCAAAAGTTATGCAGTAGTATAATAAGAGATTTTATGAAAAATCTCAGTTTTAACCCATAGATATAAAACAACATAGCTCATCTTTTTAATTGATTTATCTGTCATTGTGTTTTTAGAAAGGTAAAATGTAACAATAGAAAAATAATTAATAAGCAAAATCAGGAGCAACTAAGATGGGTCTAACACAAGTGGAGAATGAGCTTAAAAGATATATGCATGAGGAGAAAAAATGCTACAGAAGATGTGAGAGAAACGTGACAAGTGAAGTAAGGATGAAATAGAGTGTGTGAAGGCGACAAGGGAAATACAAAAATAAGGATGAAATAGAGCATATGAAGGAGATGAAAAGGGAAAAAGGTTCAACATGTGCACCTCACGTGGGTGATATGACTAGACGTAACATTCTCACAGCATCAATATGCGGTGAAAGTGTTCCTTCCAAAACAAGGTGATGCTTAGGCTAATAAATTTGGAGTTGATTTATGTGACAATTGAGTCATTTGTATCATTCATTAAAATACCGACATAAAAATATAACTTCCTAAAACCTTCAACATTTAATATTTTTAATAATTGAGATTGAGAGTTGTATAGTGTCTAAATAATTAGTTTGACACTTAATTTTGAGAAGATCACCAAAATTTAATCTAAAATATTGTTTCTAACTTAAAAGATACTACAACTAAAAAGGGGCCGTAAACAAAATATTGATTCAATACTAAATATAAAAACAAAAGGACATTAAGGTAGAAGAGAAAAAAAATTAGAGAAAAAATATAACCATTCAAAAGAACTTTAAGCAACTAAAATATATAATAGAAGAAAAATAGTTAATGCATTAGATATTCAGTTGTAATCTCCCTTTTCTATTGTTGAGTTCTTAAGCCATGTGACTTAGTGTGATTTTGGATTATGTATTAGTTATTTGTGTTGTTAATCAATCATCACCTTAATAAAGGTGAATGATCCTCATCCCGATTTGAGGATAACGTGAATTGTCCCATTTTAACCACCCTAGCGTGGATTGCAAAAGAAATAAAAATGTTAAACCATAAATTGAACAGGTCTCGTTTTGAATCTCAGCACGCGTCAGTGGAACCAACAAAAAGAGGCTACCAAGCTCCGGAAAGTCCTCAGCTGCCAAAAGGCACCTTGTCTTTTTTAGTGATACGTGTATCATGTGTGCGTCTTCCCATCCACAAACTTCGGGTTTGATGCACCTTATTCACATCACTATTACAAAAAAATTTTATATGAAACTTTAACTTTGATTCACATAAGTCAAACATTATCAATAAATTACAAGTTTTATTTAATATAAACAATTTTTTTATAAGATAATGAAAAATATAAAATGAGATCATAAAAAAATGTGGCATAAGTTAAATAAAATATGAGTAATATTTCATGTATATATAATCCAATTGCTAGAGTTTATCATGACATTGGTTATAATGATTCATCAAGGTGACTGAGTATATAGACCGCAGAATAATGTGGACAAAAGGGACCCCAAGTTCATTATTATCAACAAAAATCTAAAAAGTGAATCACAGCAACAAAGCAAAGACGACAAAACTGCCAAACTTCTACCAAGGGCACCGGCCACATGCTAAATTACATATCAAAACTATAATGGGAACAAATCGAGTCCTCGATTTTTCAACCACAAAAGAACAAGTTCCCTCAGTCACATTTCTTTAATAACTAACTAATTTGTTTCTAGGGTAAGTTGCGTGTCTTACTTGGGCATTGACAAAACTGCTCCACGTACAAAGGTGAATGAGTTTCATTTTTCCTCATCCAAATGCCTTCAGTTGCATGCATTTGCCATCGTATATGTTCTTCAAGATTCAAAAAGAAACCAATTAAGATCTTGGATATGTGAAATATGGCATACCGGGTCTGAAGGAAGCAAGGGGAAACGGATACGGTGGTGGAGGAAAAAGAGGGTCACCGTGACCAGCAGAGGCTATAGTTACACCACTACTATCCCTACTACTGTGGATTGAAGCATTATTCATAAGACCCAGATTATTATTCTGTTGCTGATCAACAAGGCTAGTGGAACTCTCACCCTTATTATTATAGCTTTGTTCTGGGCCTTGATCATATAGTATTCCACTAAATACATGCCCCCCAATATTCACAGATGTTTGATACGCTACTTCATTAACCGCATCATCCATTGACCGAACCTGAATGCACCGAAATATAGCCATAGAATTCGTAGCAGCCGGAAATTTTCTCTCTAAACCTGATATTGAACCATATATGTACATTCATCAATTTATAACTATTGTCAACCCAAAGAAAAAGGAAAAACAAGGATAATACTTTGAGCAGAAAGATACAAATACATATATCCTTTACGTCTTGGTGGTGATATTTTTATATAAACATCTCATCAACATTTAGCATTTCAAACCAGTAGACAACATAGTGGTGAAAAGATCTAATTTTCTTGTCATATAGTATTATTATCACATCAACTATTTATTTCTGTCTCTAAGATATAGAAGCTTAAAGGGTGTCTGAGGAATCATTTTCCTTGAGAAAAAACCGAAAAGGCAAAAGTTCCTATATAGGGCTCTAGATATAGATATATATACATGGATGGATCTTGACTTTGGTTTCATGTGTATAAATAGTAACCTGAATATGGATTGATCTGGTTGTGCTTTTGAGGAATATGTCCGTGAAAGTTGTGTGGAGATGGTGGTGGCTGCTCCTTGTTGCGTCTCTTATCCACAGGAGTCCATGTACTCTTGATATGGGTTTGGCAGTGAAACCCTTTGTTCTTGCAACAAGTTCTGCACCTCGAGTATGAACATTCCTTCTTGGCTTGGTTCCCACAGTCTTGGCACTTAGAACCCCTTGATACTACTTCTTCTTCGCCTTGCGTTGCCCTTTGCATCTCCTTTCTCTAAAAGACATACCACCTCATCACCCTACTCCTACTCAACTCATCCATGGCTCTAATTAAAAGAAAGCAATCTTCTTCTTTTCGTTAAAAAATTATAGTTACCAAAGTATTATTTATATAATCATGCACTTCGCTCGAGTTCTAAAATACAAGTACACCATGGCAGGAGAATCAATTCTAGGTTGAAGTAAAATCCACGTCACCCAACCACTAGGCAAACATACCGGAAAGAAAAAGTGATTAAAAAGAAAAACGTGTTAGAATAAGGGAAAAGGAAATTAAAGGGGTCTCATGCTCTCTGTACCCACGACAAAATGCAGGTATAACCAAACACTTAAATGTAGGTGTGAATCTTCAACAGTTTATGTTTTTGGTTTGCATGTTTTGAAACTAGCAATTATTAATTGTGTATGAGACAGACATAAAGTAAGCGTGTCTAAAGTGCTTTTTGTTATGTATTTGTCTAGAAATATTAGGAATATGTCTTTTGATGTTATTCACTAATATTTTTTTATTTGGTAAAACTAAAAAGGAATATGACTAGATGGACCAAAACATACTTTAGGCTCTTTCAGTGTTACTTTTACAGTTGACGCCCTAGCTCGATGCATGGTGGTTCTAAGCTCATATTAATGTTTATTATTATATATTTTGTTCATAATTTAGGTGTAAGTTAATATTTTATATTAAATAAAAATAAAAAAATTAAATAATTTATAAATGAGAAATATTGATAACCTGATATTATTAGTCAAATCTTATATTGTATTTTATTTATAAAAAAATTATATTAATTTTTTCAAAAAAGTATCTAATAATAATATTATAACTTGTTTGAATAAATTATGTAATTGTAATTAAGAAATATTTTTATTTAATAAAAATATTGATTAACATAAAAAGAAATCATGTTTAAAGGGAAAATGGTTAAAATTAGATGTACATTAAATAAAAATAAAAAAATTATATCCAATATAATATATTAATGTTTTTGGTTTAAATGGAAGAGATATGATGTTCTGGTTGGAACAAATGTAGCATGTGGGAGTATCTTAAACCAGTGGGGACGAAGAAATGAAAGTAGCGCAACTTCAATTAAATAATAGCCCTAATTTGATGCCTTTCTCCCTAAAGGACAGTCTCCTTTTCTTTTCTTCTTCGGGTGAATATTTACGTTTTGGGAACAACAAAAGAAGTGTAAAGCCAGACAACTTCACATTCTCTGTCTTCATCTTTTTTGGGAGAGTTTGTTAATTATAATTATTCTCTCTCACATATATTCCTTTTATTTTATTTTTCTCTTTTTTTTATCACTTCACTTATCATATTTATCATTTGCCCTCAGAACTTTTTTTCCCTTTGTTTTACAATAGAGGAGAACAATAAATTACTAAAAGGAAAAAAAAAATGGCATAAAAAAATTGTCTGAGAATAAAGGAATCATCAAAAATATAAAAAACTATAGAATTACAGAATTGGAAGTATGCTTTAGCTGTTAACAACTTTCTCGGTCATGGATTATAATAAGGAATGGATGCAGCACATATTGACTTTTGATTTGTCTTCACAGTTGCATAGAATTTGATGTGTCTCATAGTAAACAATGCTTGCAATTTTTTTATGTTTGTTAATCAGCTTCATTTCTCTAAGCAGCTTAATTAAGAAGGTAACTTCAAAAGAAAAATGAAACAGACACCATTTGTCATTTTCACCGTTTCTTACTCTACAAGCCTTTACATCCATCAAAATGCTTCAGTACAGTGACAAAAAATAGTTATCAATAATATTAACAAATAACATATTTTATATTAATATTTGTTGACATATAAAATATTAAAGGAATCTTTGATCCATAATTATATTATAAACATATTTTTTTAAGTAATTTCTGATAAAAAAAATTATAGGAATATTTATTTTATATTTTTTTATTGTAAATGAGCTAAATCCCAAACTTTTACTATTCAGATATTGTGAGCATCATTTTATTTAATTCTTCATGAAAAACGTGTCAACTTGAGAAGAGAAAATTGGGCACGGAAAGTGAAATAAGAAGGCCCATTAATATCACAAACTATGATATGGCCCATTCCCCCACCATCGATGTGATGCACCATAAAACACAACCAATGCACCGAATGTTCATCATCATAATAAAGAACAATAATATTTAGATACTTTCATACCCTAACTACTTATTTAACACCACTCTTTTTTTCTCTATATTTCAATTATTATTTTTATCGTACAACTTATTTTCTACAGTACCTTCCCATCTTAAAATCGGATATTTTTTATGACTACAGTTTAAAATTCTCTCATATATATATATATATATATATATATAGAGAGAGAGAGAGAGAGAGAGAGAGAGAGAGAGAGACCAAAAATAATAAAAATACATTATTTTCTAGAATAATTTTACTGAAATAATTACATTATTTGAATAAATAAAAGTGAGAATACAAACTAACTAATACTTTAGTTAATTAAAAGTGTACTCTTTCCAAAGACGAACGGGTAATGTTCGATAGAAAAAATAATATATAATTATTCTTTTGGTATAACCTAGAAATATTATAATTTAAAGAAAAAATAATTATTATAATTTATATATTTTAAAAAAATATTAAAAAATAAAAAATAAAATAATATTTTAAAAAATAATTATAAAAAATGTAAATACAACGTTAATATTCCTTTATTTTGAATGGTGTAAAAAAAAACAAAAAATATATATACATCATTTAATTCACAAGTTGGTGTGTACGTTTTCAGTGGCTGAGCTGGCAATGCCAAGAAGAATAGAAGCTACACGAAGGGTGATGGGCTCACCATATTTATTTTTTCAAGAAAAAATAAAATAAAATAATTTAGCTTTTTAGAATTGAAGTGTGAAGCTAGTCGAAAAACTCAACAATATATAATAAAAAAGACACATAAATTTCATATTTTAAATTTTGTATTGAATATATCATATTTTTTATGATTAATTCGTAATTTTATTTTTTATTTTCGCAAATATCAAACAACAAGACTTAATATAATGTGATAAGTGCTGTAATTGGAACTTTTATAAATTATGAGTTAAATGAAAATTTTAATTATAATCTAATTCTAAATTATCTTTTAATAGATTATTATATTTTAATATAGAATTATTGGATCAGAATCTGATATTATATTATTATGTTTATTAATTTTTGTTATCCGAAATTTATAATTTATAGTGATAGATTATGATTTTAACGTAAAGTTTTTGAAATCGCATCCTTAAATAAAAATATCATACCGTGTTGGATCAGTAATTTATTTACTCACGTAAAAAATAAAATGTACATAAAAATTGAGATTGATTAAGTTGAACGCAAATAAGAATGACTTACGAAAAATAAGCAGTTTTCTATATAAATAATATTGATGTATTATATTTTTGTAAATATGAATATAACATTTATGAAGTGGATTATTAGCTAAAATGTCTTTTATGCATAAGGGCAAGGTATTGATGAGAAGGGTCCCATTTGAAGGTTAAATGTTGTTGAAACTTAAAACATTTTAATGGTAAGATCTAATTCGAAATTTTATTTTATTTTTTTAGATTTTTTTATGTCACGTAAAATAAAAGTTTTTATTTTTTATTTTATTTTTTATTTTATTGAATTTTTATGTTAATGATAAATAGTATGATAGAACCTAATCTTCGATCTGAATGCGAAGAACTTTCATTTGAATATATAATAAAAAATCTTACAATCGTAAAATATATATGAGAATAAGATGAAACATAAAAAATAGCTTTAGTGAGGCATGTGAATTATGCAAGCTATAGATCAAAGAGAATGTAGGCTACTTCCACAAAGTTTCTGGCTATCAAAACCTTTTCAACCTTCCCTACCTCTCCTCCATAATATTCGAAATGAATGCACCAAACAAATAAAATATATTCGATTCAATATCTTATTAATATTCATCTTATTAAATATTGTGTATTCAACATTTTTTTAGTTAACATATTAAATTTTGAAAAAAATGAAAAAAAAAAATTAGGAGGATAAATAATGGAAATGAAAAGGAGGAACACGTATCCCAATATTTATTGGGTATCTTAAATGGAAAGGACAGGGACAAATAAATAAAGACAACCCGATCGAGACCACCAGTAAATTTTAATTTTCTGATTTTCGAAACTTTTTCACAGGAGTGAGATTTCTTTTTGGTTGTATAATGTACTTTTTGTCTTTTATGTCTTTTACATAAATAATAATAATAATAATAATTAATTCTTCCCTCCTTTTCTTCCATTTGAATGTCATTTAGATATTGTTAGTGGCAAATCGAGGAAAATGATCGAAATCGAAGGAAAGAGATGCGACTCGATAAGATTCGATCGACGTCTAATTAGAAATACGTAGCATACAGGCATCGAGGAGCACAATCAAGAATCGAATGAATAATAATCAAATGATCTGTTGTCGAATAAGAACTAAGTCATATAAGACCAGGGTTAAAAAGGAACTGTAAGCAATTCAAAGTTCTCGAAAAATACCGAATCGAGAGTAAAGAAAGCCAACGTGGACATCGAGACTTTGGCCAAATCGTGAAAGGAAGACGAATGCACGTATAAAGAGCGGTTTGAAATCATGAGGAAAAAGTCGGAGATCGTGAGAACGTGGGAAACTACAGAAGATAAAGCGCCATACGCACGTAGAACGTGGTAGCGATCGCGTTAAGCTGCTCTCAGAAAGCTTGAAGGATGCCCTATAAATAGAGCAAAGGAGAAAGGAACAAGGGAGCAAAAATTGGCGAGCACGAGAACCGGTAGTGAAAAGTCTACCGGAGAAACGACGAACACCATGAAGCTTCTGGCGGTCTGGATTTCCCTGCTCACGGAGTACATTTATCGCTTTCTGTATTTTCCTTGGTAATTTACTTTGATGCAACTTAAATTCAGCAGTTTTATGTTTCTGTATTTCGATTCCTTGTTCATTTCAATTCAATGAAAATTTGAGTTTCTGCATTTAGATTTCCTGTTATTTAACATTCTGCAAATCTCAATTTCCTGTCATTTACTTTTCTTGCAATCTCGATTTCTTGTCAGTTATATTTGTGTTGTTTTCGATTCCTCGCTATTTACAATTAATGCAAGTTTGGGGTTCTCGCATTTTACATTTCCTCACAATTTAATATTCTGCTTTTCTATTCGATAGTCTAAATGTTTTCGATACTTTAAATACAAAATACCAAAAACAGTATTTTCGATATCCTGGAGTTTTCAATTTTCATACACGTTTTCGATTGAAAACCAAATTGCTAGCCTAAGTAAAAAGAGCTTACGTGGTAGGATTTTGATTAGGACCAAAACACCCTTCCAATCGAAATCGATCGAAATTCCACCAGAAACAAATTGGCGCGCCAGGTAGGGGACTAGTCTTGTGTTGAAAAAACACAAAAGAGGTTAGTTCGTGAGTGTATGAGATTAAGAAGTGGGAGAGTTATAATGAGTCAGAATTCATCAAGTAGTCAGAATAACAATGAGGGTCTAAGTGGTGTGCTCTCACCAAATACCGGGGGGCAAGGGCACAATGGGAGTATGCCTGTAGTATCGACA